CGCTCGTGCACAGGGCCGCCGCCAGGCGGGGGCGCAGCAGGCTGTTTGCACATCGGCAAACGCATCGGGTCTGCCGCGCGCCAGCGGGATCCTTACACACTACAGTATTCGGCGCATGCATCGCAGACAGCCACATTGGCCGCCTCATCTAGCCGAGGCGATACCCCAGACGGAGGCCTAGACACAGCGCGGACTGCGTGCAAGGCAAGTTGCCTGCAATATTGACTCGTGCGTGCCCTTCTCTCTCCCCTCCTGCGTTTCCTCGATCTCCCGGGATGTCCTCCTCCTCCCCCTCCTCCTCCTCCTGCTCCTCCTCCTCCTCATTCTTCAAATTGGCTGTCGGGCAGTAGCGGGCCTGAGGTGACCATTCGGGAGGATTGGAGCGCCCCCGGACTTCGACGAGGCGGGACCCACAGAAACCACCTCAGATTCCGAGAACTTGTAAAAATCAGAAAGATCATCTGGAACTCACCCCATGGGAAGGTTGCTTGGGCTGGAGCTGGAGGTGTTTTCGTGATATCTCGGGCGATCCTGGGGTGCCTTCGCCTGTCTAGGGGCGCGGTTTGGGGCTCTTGTGGCTACATTTCATACAATTTCGTTCACAAGACTTCTTGGGCGATTTGGGGTCTCTTGGGGCCTCTTGGGTGGATCAAACGTACTTCCTGGGGCTTCTTCGCGGGCTGCTGGGGGCACCGTCTAGCTGGAATCGTGGGCACCTTTTTTGGAGGAGGGCCCGAAAGCCTTCTCGGCGGCGTCTTGGAGGCAGTTCTGAAGCCTCTTGGGCCTCTTTGAAGGCCCAGTTGTGCCCTTTTGTTGACCTTCTGGTGGCCTCTCGGCGCATCTTGGGGGCGTCTTGGAAGCCTCTGGGGGGCCTGTTAGGCGGCCTCGGGGGTCATCTTGGGGCGGAGGGCTCGGAATGTCAGCTCGGATTCCTTCTCTTGGGCCCCTCTTGGAGTTCTCTTGGGGCCCTCTTGGGCCGTCTCCTGTGCGTCTTGGGCCGTGTAAGGGGCCCTCGTGGGACGTCTTGGGGCATTCTTGGAGGCCTCTTGGACCGTCTTGGGGCGATTCTGGGTTCCAGCGCAGATCGTCAAGCACCGATTCAGTTTCGAAGTAATCAGGGATCGTTCGAATACGCGGGCGGGAACTCCGATATCAGAGCAGCATTAAAAACACGTGCGTGTACTGCCTCATGTACATCTATTGGCGGAAAACTCAATGGAATCGCAAACATTATGCCCTTCCTTCTTCTCCTCTTCGTGGTCCTCCTTCTCTGCTTCCGGCTCCTCCATCCTTGTTCCTTATAGATAACTCCTCCGTGCCGCATCCCGAGGCGCGTCAGTAGGGCGGGGCGTGCGTTTCGCCCAAAATGCTGAAGTGGATTTCCTCACCATGTATGATGCTGAAGTTTGAAGCTTGCAACAGCTTCGCGGATGGAGGGTGGGTGATTTTCAAATGTGGCTCTCGCCTTAGCGCTGCGCGCATCTGTTGTAAAGTTTGCAAAGGTCTCACGGTTGGAAGGCGGGTCGTGTTAAAAATGGAGCTCTCCTGGCAGCGACTCGCACATTCGTAGCAATTTCAAAAAGTAGTATGGTCGAAGCTCCAGGAATGCAGCACTCGCGTCGATTCGCTGTGTTGAAGTCTCAGGAATGGTGTCTTGGTACGATTTAGGATATGGACAGGATGTACAGTCCCGTTGATTCGCGGCGTTGAATCCCCAAGAACTGTCATTTTGCAGACTGGAGGATTCTCGAACAGCTGCCTGTCAATGGGGCATTTCCCTTCATGAAATAAAATCTTGCGTGAGCATGTGAAGAGGGACCTTGGATGGGCTCCAAATCTGGACCTGATGAGCCTGGGTGGCGGTCCAACCGCCATGTAGCCGACGTCGCCGCCCCGTCGCCGGCGGCCGCCTCTTCGCCGCATTGCTCTGCATTGCTTTGCGTTACTTTGCATTGCTCTGCGCTAGTTTGCAGTGCATTGCATTGCTTTGCATTTCGTTATTTGCGTTGCTTCACACTGCTTTGCATTGATTCACATTGGCTTGCATGGTTTTTGTTCCTATGTTCTCTGATCTAATGCTTCGCATTGGCTTTCATTGCTTCGCATTGTTTTGCGTTGCAACGCAATGCTTGGGAGCAACTACTGATCACTGGGAGGAGGCGGAAGAGGACACCACACCGACCACGATATTACGATAACGCAATCTGAATGTCCCGCAACAGAAGATGTGGACCAACGGCTTTAATCCGTCAGTCCAATCGGACAAAACAAGAGCATAACCTGCCGGGGGAGCAATGCTGGAACCGGTATTCCTCAAGGTACTCTCCCCAAACCGCTGCTGGTCTCGTTTCGGGGCCTTCTTCCGTCGCTGCCGTCGTCGTCGTCGTCGTCGTCGTGGTCGTCGACGTCCTGCTCCTCCTCTTCCCCCTCGTCCTCCTCCTCCTCCTCCTGCTCTTCCTCCTCCTCTTGTTCTTTCTCCACTCCCCCTCATCTTCATTCTCCTTCTCGTGATCCTCTCCTCCTCGTCCTCCGCCTCCTTCTCGTCGTCGCCCAGAGCGCCCTCGGCAAGTCCTGGCCCATGGGAAGCTCAGGGGGAGCAAATCCGAGCGGTGCCTCGGGGTCTTGTGGATCCGCTTAGGGGGCTCTTGGGGTTTTTGAGGGCCTCTTGAGCGCCTCTTGTGATGTGTTGTGGGGGCCTTGTGGGGCTTTTTCAGCTGTCTTTGAGCCTCCAGGAGGCTCCCTGGGCTCTCGTGGTGGGGACTTCTTGGCTTTTTAGGATCTCTTGGGGGCCACTGCGGGCCTCTTGGGGGGGCCTCTTGGGGGCTTCCTGGGGCGTTTTAGGAGCTTGTCGCCTCCACCCATTGCGGCACACCCTTCCCACGGATCGTGCGCCGCAGAGAATTCCACGTACGGCCGAACTTTGAGGATTCGCAGAGTATCTCCACACATGTAGCTGCCCCCTTCTTCTCCTCCTCCTCCTCCTCCTCCTCCTCCTCCTCCTCCTCCTCCTCCTCCTCCTCTCCCCCCTCCCAGCATAACATGGCAGCCAGTTTCTTCCACCAGGCAAACGCTGGGCCATCAGATTGTGAACTGCCCTTGCCTTGTGCCATGGCGGACACACGCCTCCGGCCAGCGGCACTGCTTTAGCCGATGTGTTGTGCAGACACGGCGTCATTGATTGATTGCTTGACATGCATGAGTACATACTTTCGCACGCACATGAGTACAACATATAACCCGCAAACATCGGAACGCACACATACAGAAAAACATGGGCAGGGTGGCTTGGATGCCTCTCGGAGTGTCGTGGAATGGAATGGTCATCAGGGGCCTCCTGGAAGCCTCTTCGGGGGCCTCTTGGGAGTGTCCTGGCGGACTCCGGGAGCTTGGGGCCCTCTTGGGATCATCTTGTGGCTCCCCTTGGCCGTCCTGGGCTATCTTGAGGCCCTCTCGTGCTGTCTTGGGGCGCTTTTCGGGTCCTTTTGTGCTGGCTTGGAGCCGTCTGGGAAACTCATAAGGGTATCTCGGGCCTGGAGAGGCTCAGGAAAGCGAGAACGCGAGAATCGTGCAGTTTAAAACTCTTCATGGCCTCCTTGAACATCTTAGGGCCTCTTCAGCGCCTCCCGGGAGCTTCCCACCGCTTGGTGCCTCTTGGGAGCTTCTTGGAAGCCTTTTGGGGGCCTGTTGTGGGCCTCCTGGGGGCCTGGTGGCGGTCTTCTCGGGGTCGCTCTGGGGGCGGAGGGCTCGAAATGTTAGTTGGAATCCTCCATCTTGGGTCCCTCTTGGGGCCCTCGGAGGGCCCGTTTGGGCCGTCTTGGGCGTCTCTTGGGATATCTTGGGATGCTTGTGGGCCGTCTGAGGGCCCTCGTGTTGGCCTCGTGCCTCCTCCTCCTCTTGCTCCTCCTCGGATTCCTCCTCCATCCTCCCCCTCTTGGAGTACGATCTCTCACCCAACCCTTAATTTCACTGCATTCTACTCCGCATCCCTGATCAGGGCAACTCGTCTGAGCATCGTTTCTGGATGGGCTGGTGTGGTTACGCGAAGCGTCTAGAACATGCTAAACATGCATGTTGTCCCATTCGAATGCGACGACGTTTGCTCCTCGGGGCCCTTCTTTGGGTCCTCTTGGAGCGGTCTTCAGGCATCGTGGACGCCTCCTGTGCCCCTGGAGAGGCATCGTGGGCGGTCGGAGAATCCTGGAGGGCGTCGTGGGGGTGCCTCGGGGCCGTCTTGGGCCGCTGCGACGGCTGCCCGGTGGCCCTCAGGAGCCGCCCTGGGCCCCCCCACGGGCGGGCCGAGGCCCCCAGGGCCCTCGCGTTTTGACGCCGGTGCCGAGGCCCTGGGTGCCCCCAGGAGGAGGAGGAGGAGGAGGAGGAGGAGGAGGAGGAGGAGGAGGAGGAGGAGGAGGAGGAGGAGGAGGAGGAGGAGGAGGCGGGGGAGTCTATACGGCGCATGCCTGAGCTGCTTGCGGCTCTCTAAGCAGGGCGGCAGGGATGGCTGCGGTCGATCGGTAAGCTGCAGTATAGCAGAAAAAACAACGGCACAAACATGTAAGCTTGTGGCGCTCCGCGCGGACTTGTTGGATCAACGTTGGGCCCCCGTCCCTGGCGCGCGAAGCGCGCCAGGGGCGGCGCCGGAGGCGCCACCGAGGGGGCCCCACCGCGGATCCCAGAAATCCGCGCGGAACGCCAACAGTTCTATGCTTATGCAAATTTTCTTCTTCGATGATAAGGCACGCACACAAACGATGCGTGCGCGAAGAGCGTGCGCTTCGCTCGCGCTTAGGTTCTAGTCGAATGGACTTGCCGCGGCCACTTTGTCTTCCTACCCCAATTCGCGCTCCCCTCATTTTCATTAAAATCACTTCCACTCGTCATCGTGAATCATCGGCGCCGTGGCCTTTATTTACTGTGGGTCGTCGTCGTCGTCGTCGCCATGCCGTGCCGATATTCCCAGGGCGTTGCGAGTACGTACGCCGCCCTGGGGTGGCTCATGGTAGTCACTGCCTTGGCTTCTTCTTCAAGATCTGCTCGAAGAGCTCTGTGACTACTGCCCTGTCGCCGTTGCTTGTGAACTGGGTCGCCCTGAAACCTTTATGGAAACCTTCGACGGTGTCCGCTTTGAGCTCGGCAACTTTCTTGCACATCTGCTCCTCAGGCGGTAGGACACTGGCGTTCGCTAGATTGCCGGAGCTGAACGCGATGCAGAATTCAAAGAAACACCACCCTCGCGAGAGGTATTCCTTGTCGGCTGTGACCTCGTCATCCATGGGAAGCAGGATGACAGCAGTGCTGCACACGCTGTACATGAGTTCCATCGAACCGAGAGCGTTCCTGAACGACGGCTCTTCCGCCTCTGTGCGAACGGCAGGGTGCTCGCCAGGCTTGGGCCACTTGTTCTCCAGATCCATTCGCTCGTACTCTGGGTCCTGTGTGTTGTGGGGAAAAGCCCATGTAATCGATGAGTACTAATGCGTCATCGAGAGCGCTTAGCAGGTCCAACTGCCGCACCAACAGCTGCAATTTCGCTCGGCTGGGATCTGGGTGCTCCTTCGACAGCCAAGGGTGCGACAAGACGAACCTGTCTTTGGGATCATCTTTGTCATCTGAAAAACCCGAGCTGCCGATGATGGCCTCCGCAACGGGCACTTCCTGGCAGCACACTATGACAGTTCCTCCAGATTCCGCAAGACGCCGAAGGTATCCGAATCGGACTCTCTTCACCTGGACATTGTCCAAGTACGCCAAGAAGTCATCGTATCATCTCTGCAGCTCCTCCGGGCTGTAGCAGTTGATGCGCTCGAAGGCCCTTACCGCCAAGCGCCGCAAGGGCCGCGGCCCCGCGAGGCCGGAGAGGAGGGCCACCTGCAGGCAGTTGAAGCCGTTGTTTGTGGCACTGCCCCAGGAATAGGCGTGCCACAAACCTTCGTCATAATTGTGGAGGCTGGCTGCGAGGATGAGCGCCTCCGTGAGCAACAGCAGCAGGGATGCCACGACCAGCGCGGCTGTGCCGCGCACCCAGCGCGCCGCCTGCGCCATCCCAGCGCGCCCAGAGCGCGCAGCAGCGGCCAGCAAGCTCCACGCCCCGCAGCATGCCAATGTCGGCGCTGCGAGAAAGGCCACCAAGAGGCCGATGACACCAGTCCACCAGAACGCCGCCTGCACGGGCCCGCCGCTCGGGCCTGGCAGGCCGATGGCGAAGAGCGCGACGACGGCCACCACGAGTGCGACGAGTCCCGCCGCCCCCGCCACCAGCGCGGCGCGGGCCGCCCGCGCTGGTCGCCAGAGCCCAAGTTCGCGCAGCTTCAGCACCAGCACGTGGTACGGAACGACCATCGCCGCAACGTAGCTTGCACCGTGTAGCGCCCTGCACGGGCCCTGCCACGCCGCGCCCGCCGCGCCGCGGCACCCCGGGTCCAGAGCGGGCCAGGCGAGCCGAGCGGCCGCGGCGACGGCGGCGCAGGTCCCGAAGCGCCGCGTCCATGCGTGCAGCGGCGTGGCGGGGCGGAAGCCCTGGCGCACGGCGACGCACCAAGCCTCCAGGGCCAAGGACACCGGCGAGAACACCACGTACTGAGGCCAAAGCACGGCCCAATACTCGCGGCCCGCGGTGCGGCTGCCGGCGTCGCTCCAGCACGGACGAGCCGTGTGCAGGTAGGCCGCCGTGGGCCCGCGGAGGGCCAGCAGCGCCAGAGCGATCAGCGCGAGCCTGGCGACGAGCCAGCACCGCGCGTCCTCCTGCGTGCCCTCGTCGCTGTCGGCGTCGCCATCGCCCGCGGCCAGCGGCGGCGGCCGCGGCGAGGCCGTGGAATCGGTACGCGGCGCGCTCGCGACCACGAGCTGCGGAGGGGCCAGTGCGCTGCCAGCGTCCTGCTGGGCGGCCGACATGGCCGCGGCGGCAGCGTCGGCCGCCGCGCCCGGAGCGGCAGGGGCCGTGCGGGTCGACCGCCAGGCGATGATCGACGCCTCCTGAGACGCGTGAGCGCCCAGCAGAGACACCGCTCTTGGGCCAAAGCGCATAGGGCTCTCCTGAAACTCCCAAAAGCCTCCAAGAGAGCTCTAGGGAATGGCCTGGGAGGGCCCGAAAGGGCGCCAAGGGAGCTCCAAGAGCGGCCCAAGAGACCCAACCATATGACATAATACCTTAACACAGCGCCATCCTTGACGAGGACAAGGTTTTTGTGAAGTTGCGCTAAATGTTGGGCTCCCTTGGGGCGTCTCTTGGGGCGTCTCTTGGGGCACTCTTGGGGGGCCCTTTTGGGGCCCTCTTGGGCCGTCTTGGAGCCCTCTTGGGGGCCTTTTTGGATGTCGTGGGGCGCCAGCAGCTCGAAAAGGCGAGAACCCCCAAAGCATTGAAAAACCTCTGGAACATTAAGGGTATTTGCCTCTCGGGGCCACGTGGGGAGCGTTCGTCGAGTCCTCACTGGCCGTCCTCGCACTGTCGTTTCGGGCTCCTGCTCTTGGGCCTCACTCGGGGCCATCTTGAGGCCCTCTCGGGCCGCCTTTGGCGCCTCTAGGGCCGTCTAGGGCCATCTTGGGGCCTTCTTGGGGGCCTCTTGGGCCGTCTTGGGGCGGTCGTGGGGGGCTCTGGGGACGTCGTGGGGAGTCGGAAGCAGGAAAAAATGAGAACTTCAAAAACCTTTAAAACCCTTTGGTTTGTGCCTCTTGGGGCCCTCTGGGGAGCGCTCGTCGAGTCTTCTTGGGCTGTCTGAAAGCTCTCTGGGGCTGCCCGTGAGTCCCGCGGGACATCTCGAAGCCATCTGGTGTCTCTGTGACGCCACTTACGGCCGTCTGGGCGGCTCTCGGGCCGCTGGAGAGGGTGCCCGGGGAGCCTGGAGCCCCCATGGCGACCCGAGGCAGCTGGGAGAAGGCCTCCAACCCTGTTTGACGAATTTGGCCTCTTTGGGCCTCGGTGGTGGTCGTCTTGGGGCCGTGGGGCCGTTTTGGGCTATTCTTGGGCCCTGCTGGCCCGTCTTGCCGGGCTGTTGCCGTCTTGGGCTCTCTTGGCGGCATCTTGGGGCCCTGTTGGGGCTCTCTTGGGATCCTTTTTGGCCACTCTTAGACCGTGTTGGGGCCCTCTTGGGGGCCTCCTGGGCCGTCTTGGGGGCCGAAAAGGCGGGAAGCTCAAAATCCTAGAAGAACCAGTGGGAAATTTGAATTGCTTGCCTTTTTGGGTGCCCTTGAGGGACATTTTGGGGCGTCTTGGGAGCCTCGTGATTCGTCTGGAGAGCACGGTGGCGGGCTGGACTGAATGTCGCTGCGCATTACACCTGTGTTCGTGTGTCCATATCTGCAGATACACATGTGCTTATGCAGCAAGGGGAATTTGTGTGAATGCGTGTCGTGTGCACATTGTTTTTTGTAGCCGCATGTATGTGCACACACGCATAGACACATCACAATCACCATCACCATCACCATCACCATCACCATCACCATCACCATCACCATCATCATCACCATCATCATCATCATCATCATCATGATCGTCATCACCATCAGCATCATCATCGTAATCGTTATCATCATCGTCATCGCCCACATCAACATCATCACCATCCCCATCACCATCACCACCACCATCACCCTCACCATCACAATCACAATCCCCATCAACACCACCATCATCATCACCATCATCATCATCATCACCACCATCACCATCATCATCACCATCACCACCACCATCATCATCATCACCATCACCACACCCATCACCATCATCACCATCACCATCATCACCACCACCACCATCATCACCATCCCCATCACCATGACCATGACCATCACCACCACCACCACCATCATCATCATCGTCATCATCATCATCACCATCACCATCGTCATCACCATCACCACCACCACCACCATCATCATCATCATCAGCATCATCATCGCCATCGCCATCATCACAATCACCATCACAATCACCATCGCCATCACCACCACCATCATCATTACCACCACCATCATCGTCACCGTCATCATCAACATCATCATCACCATCACCATCACCATCACCACCACAAACACCATCACCATCACCATCACCACCACCATCACCATCACCATCACCATCACCACCATCACCATCGTCGTCATCATCACCATCACCACCAGCATAATCAGCATCATCGTCATCGTCATCGCCATCATCATCATCAACATCATCACCATCACCATCATCATCATCATCATCATCATCATCATCATCATCATCACCATCACTATCACCATCACCACCACCATCACCATCACCACAACCACCATCACCATCATCATCACCACCATCATCATCATCACCATCACCATCACAAGCACCATCATCATCATCACCATCCTTATCACCATCACCACCACCACCATCCTCATCATCGTCATCGGCATCATCATCAACATCATCACCATCACCATCATCATCACCACCACCACCTTCACCATCATCATCACCAACACCATCACCGTCACCACTACCATCGTCACCATCACCATCACCATCACCACCACCATCACCATCATCATCATCGTCATCGTCATCGTCGTCATTATCAACATCATCACCATCGCCATCACCACCACCGTCACCATCACCACCACTACCATCACCACCATCACCATCACCACCACCATTACCATCACCAACACCATGATCACCATCACCATCACCATCACCACCACCATCACCATCGCCACCACCATCATCACCTTCCTTTTCATCAGCATCATCATCACCATCGCCATCGCCATCACCACCACCACTACCATTATCATCATCACCACCATCAGCATCAGCATCGTCATCGTCATCATCATCATCATCATCATCATCATCATCGCCATCAACATCACCATCACAACCACCACTACCATCATTATCATCACCATCATCACCATTATCACCATCAGCATTAGCATCATCATGATCATCAACATCATCATCATCATCACAACAACCACCATCATCATCATCCTCATCACCATCACCACCACCACCACCATCATCATCATCATCATCATCGTCATCGTCATCATTATCATGATCAACATCACCACCATCACCATCACCATCACAATCACCACCCCAATCACCACCACCATCACCAGCACCGTCATCATCATCATCACCATCACCACCACCATCATTATCATCGTCATCATCACCATCATCATCAACGTCATGACCATCGCCATCACCACGAACCATCACCATCAGCATCGCCACCACCATCACCATCACAATGGCCATCACCATCACCATCACCAACACCATCATCATCATCACCATCACCATCACAATCACCGTCACCACCACCACCATCACCATCACCATCAACATCGTCACCATCATCGTCATAATCGTCAACATCACCACTACCGTCATCATCAACCTCATCATCACCATCCGCATCAGCATCATCATCATTTACATCATTATCATCACCATCACCATCACGACCGCCATCATCATCATCACCATCACCACGACAACCACTTCAGCATCATCATCATCATCGTCATCGTCATCGTCACCGTCATCATCAACATCATCACCATCACCATCACCACCACCCCCATCATCATCATCACCATCTCAACCACTATCTTCATAATCATCATCGCCATCGTCATCGTCATCATCATCATCAACATCATCACCGTCGCTATCACCAGCACCATCACCATCACCACCATGACCATGCCCATGACCATGACCATCACCACCACCATCATCATCATCATCATCATCACAATCATAATCATAATCACCATCAACATCACCACCACCATAACCATTATCATCACCACCATCAGCATCATCACCGCCATCACCGTCACCATTACCACCACCACTACCATCATCATCATCACCACCAGCACCACCACCATCATCATCAACATCATCATCAGCATCGGCATCAACGTCATCATCACCAACATCACCATCCCAATCACCACCACCACCATCATCATCATCATCACCATCATCATCGTCATGGTCAGCATCATCATCATCATCAACATCATCATCATCATCATCATCACCATCACCGTCACCACCATCATCATCATCACCATCACCACCACCGTCAACATCATCGTCATCGTCATCGTCATCATTTTCAACATCATCACCATCGCCATCACCACCACCATCACAATCACCACCACCATCACCATTACTATGACCATGACCATCACCAGCACCATCATCACTCCCACCACCATCATCATCACCATCATCATCATCAGCATCATCATCGCCATCACCATCCCCATCACCATCACCATCATCATCACCATCATCATCATCACCACCATCATCACAATCATCATCATCATCATCGTGTGCATCACCATCATCGTCATCACCATCACCATCAGCATCACCACCACCACCACCATCATCATCACCATCATCATCATACTCGACACCGTCGTCTTCATCATCATCATCGTCAACCTCATCACCATCACCACCACCAACACCATCGCCATCACCATCAACACCATCATCATCATTATCACCATCATCACTACCCACATCATCATCAGCAGCATCGTCATCGTCATCGTCATCATCGGCATCATCACCATCGCCATCACCACCACCATCACCATCACGATCACCATCACCACCACCACCATCACCATCACCATGACCATCACCATCACCATCACCATTGCCATCATCATCACCACCATCATCATCATCACCATCACCATCACCACCACCATCATCATCAGCATCATTATCATCGCCATCACAACAACCACTACCATTATCATCTTCACCAGCACCATCACCACCACCATCATCATCACCATTATCATCATCAACATCATCATCATCACCACTACCACCATCATCATGACCGTCATCATCAGTCTCGTCATCGTCATCGTCGTCATTATCAACATCATCACCATCACCATCACCACCATCATCACCATCATCAGCATAACCACCACCATCATCATCATCATCATCATCATCATCATCATTATCATCGTCATCATCGTCTTCAACATCATCGCCACCACCATCACACCAAACATCACCATCACCATCACCATCACCACCACCATCACCATCACCATGACCATCAGCATCACCATCACCACCACAATCATCATAACCATCATCATCATCATCACCACCATCATCATCACAGTCATCATCATCACAATCACCATCATCGCCATCATCATCATCACCATCACCATCACCACTATCATCATCACCATCATCATCATCATCATCATCGTCACCGTCATCGTCATCATCATCAACATCATCACCATCACCATCACCATCACCACCACCATCACCATCGCCATCACCATCACCATCACCACCACCATCATCATCATCATCATCATCATCGCCATCACCACCACCACCACCATCATCATCACCATCACCACCACCATCATCATCACCATCACCATCACCACCATCATTATTATCAGCATTTTCAGCATTATCATCGCCATCACCACCACCATCACGACACCACCACTTCTACCATCATCATCATCACCACCACCACCATCATCATCACCATCAGCATCATCCTCATCCTCATCCTCATCATTATCATCATCATCATCATCATCGTCATCGCCATCACCACCACCACCACCACCACTACCATCACCGTCGTCACCACCACCACTACCATCATCATCACCATCACCACCACCATCATCAGCATCAGCATCATCACCACCACCATCATCATCTTTCTGCTAGATGCATGCACGCATACGTCGATGGGCGTGGCGAAGGGTCAATCCTTCTGTCCGCGGCCAGGACTTCCACGAGCGACGCAGCCTTCTGCAGCTCCGGGAAACCTCCACCGGAGAGGGCGGGGCGGGCCGCGCTGATTCCCCCCCCCCCCCCCTGTGCAGCTCCTGGGCGTGTGGGGAACGCACCTGCTGCTCCTGCTCTCTCTCGTGCTCTTCCTGCTGACCCGCAGGCCCATCCGGAGGCCAACGCTGCTCTCGTGCGAACAAAGGGCGAGAGGTGAGCCGGGTTGAGGGAAGAACCGCTCACTCCACATGTTTCTCACGCGTAGGTTGGGTAACGTCAAGGCTCGAGGAAGGCCGCCGAGCTCCAGACTGGCTGCTATCGCAGCTGGAAGGCATGCCATCCATCAACGAGAAGTGCCAGGACACCTGTCCAAGATTTCGAGCGATCTCTTCGGGCCTGGCTGGGGTGGCCTTTCGCCCGTCGCCCCTGTCATATGGGCAGTGCAGTGGGAATACAAAAAAAAAGCGAACCTAAACAAGGCTCGACGAAGTCACACCAGCCCTCTGGGCGTAGGTGGTTTAACGAGTTTGTCTTCTCTCCCCCTCTAATCCTGCTCGGGGGAGGGGTTAATCACTGCACCTTATTGATAAACACCCCCTCACCCTGGCGACCGGCAGCCAACCCGGACCAATGCGGGCCCCCCCCACCATCCCTTGTAAAAAAGCAATGCGAAGTACACTCTGCTTCCAAATCTGGTGTATGCGCGGGCGCCCCGCGACAACTTTGCATGGTTTCTGACAGGAGCGGCGGGGGTTCTGTCATATTGCTTGCTGCGCGCCGGCCAACCTTCCTTGTCAAATGCAAATACAGATTGGCTCGAAATCTGGAGCATACGCAGGGTCCTCATTCTGAGCTCTCATCTGTTTCACGACTCCTCAAGGTGTCACACATTGTCCATCGGTGCCGGTGCTTGGCGCTCCCTGGAGGAGCCGCCCTTCTCACTCGGCACTTCGCACTTCGCTTCAGGGGGACTCTGAACTCTTTGCGGCCAGGGCCCCAGGCACCTGGGGTCCCTATTGGTTCCCTGTGTTTACCAAGCGCATCTGGCGCGGCTGGAGCGCGTGGCACAGCTGGCGCACGTGGAGCAGGTGCCGCACCAGGGAGGCCCAGGGTGCCTGGTACACCAGGAGCCCGGGGCGCGCATGGCATGTGTGGCGTTCCTTGGCGATCAACTGGCACTCGGGTGTTACTTTTGTGCTGGGAATGCGGGTGGGAGTGAGCTAGACGTCCTGGTATCTAGGAGAGTCACTTGATGATAATTCCCTGTTGATACGCGCCCCCTTCCCCAGGCGACCGGCAGCCAAGCAGGAACAATGCCGACCCTCTGATCACCCCCAACCCATCCCTGTCAACAAAGCAATACAAAACACACTCTGCCTCCAAATTCAGAGCATGCGCAACCAACCCGATACGCCCCCCGCGAGTCATGTTCGTGGGGCCCGCGAGCACTTTGTATTGTTTTTGGACCAGGACGGCGGGGGTGTCAGCATATTTTCTGCTGTGCGCAGGGCCACCATCCCTTTCACAAAAACAATACAACATGCACCTCGCGGCTACATGCGTTGTGAAAGACGCCCATCGTCTGCAAACGTGGGTTCTCGCCCGATGCCCCCTGCGTGCACGGAGAACACCGAGAATGCTAGCCGCAGAAATCACTACTTGCAGTGCGGGCTGAGCCTTTCGAGACTTCCACCCCAAGACGCCTCCAGGTTGCCCCAAGAAGCCCCTAACAGGCCACCAGGGAGTTCCAAAATGGCTGCAAACAGCCCCCAAGAGGCCCGCAGGAGGCCCCCAAGAGGTTCAAAAACTGCCTCCAAGACGCTTCCCACGAGACCCCATCAGCCATCCGAGTGGCCTCAGACCCGCAATCCAGGCACGGTGGCGGGATGTGCCGAATACCATTCGATAATCATTCTTCGGGTGTTTTGACAAATGCCCGCCGTCTGTATACGTGGGCTCTCGCCCGTTTCCCCATGCGTGCACGGCGAGAACTCGTAATGTTAGCCCAAGAGGCCCCGAAAAGGCCCCCATGAAGCCCCCAAAGAGCCCCAAGAAGCCCCCCAAAGGCGCACAAAAGGCCCTAAGGAGCAACACGCAGCAACCGCCAGTTCCCCAAGAATCAGCGTTTTTTCCATTCTTGCTTTTTCGCTTCCGATACGCCTCTAATGCCTCAAGATGGCCCCAAGATGGCGCAGGGGAGCCCCAGTGGGGGCCCAAGAGGGCCCCAAGACGGTCACAATATGCTGTGGGGGACATCAATTAATGACCCCCCTTTTCGAGCCACGGGGGCCCAGACGGCCTCACGAGACCTCCCAGACCCACCCCAAAAAGGGCCGAAGAGGGCCCCACAAGAAGGCCCCAAGAGGGCCCCAAGAAGGCCCCCATAGGGCCAAACATGCTTCCAACATTGGGCCTCCGAGGGGGATTTACATTTAGGACCCCTTCTTTTTGAGCCATCGTGCCCAAGACGCGGCACGTCCAAGGCAACAGGCAACGAGTGATACGTCCAGGGCCGCAGGCAATTAGTGACATACGAGGGCAACAAGTATCCAGCGATACTTCGGGAGAAGCAGGCAACCAGCGACACGTCGCGCAGGAGGTCTGGCGATCGTTTCTGGATGGGCTGGTGGGGATACTTTTTGATCGCGACCGCAGGCGGGCACCCGCGCGGATACTTTTTGGTCGGCGGCTCCGAGGCGACGGTCACGGAGCGAACGCGGCGTCCGGGGTACGGCACATCCCGCGCGGATACGCGAGGCGCCAAGAATTTCCCTAACCGCGATGGGCTTCGCCCAGTTCCTGCTGGACAGACGAAATGGGGCTGCGAAACGTCCCCACAGTGTGGACCCCGGCGACAGGGCAAACCCTACCACAATCCGGATCGCAACACTTTCGACTTTGTCGCGCGCTCCTTGGCGGCGACGCGCTCGGGCTCCTTTCCCCCCTTCTCCGTCAGCCCCGTATGCTCAGCCCTCACTGCCATTGGCCGGGACAGACGGGAGGGTCACCAGCGTCCCTTGCACGCAGGAGAGCAGGCACTCTCGAACCAACGCGTGCGCCCCTTGATCTCGGGCGCGCTTCGCTCACTCGGCAGGAGCGTGATATCCCAGTGCTTAAGAAGGCTGTGGATGGATAGCAAGGGGCGTCCCCTTGTTGCGATCGAAGACGTCTGCGGCGAGTCACCGCCTCTCCCTGCCGTTGGCGGAACTGCAAATGTGGCCCAACGTTGAGCCAACTATTGGCGGAAACCTTTGGAAAACACAATGCCATGTATACTCGGAGTCTCTGGATTTGAGGGCTCTCTTTGGTTCCTGCTGGGCCTCCCGAGACTTCCTAGGGGCTCCCTGGGGCTGTCCGGACAGTGTCAGGAACACACTTTGGGGCGTCTGCGGGCGTCTTGATGACATTCAGGGCCATCTTGCGGTCTGCTTCGACATATGAAAGCCTTCTCAGAAATTCTTGGAGCATCCTCGGAGCCTATTGGGACTCTCTTGTGTGATCCTGGGAGCCTTTGGGGCCCTACCTATTGAGGCGTCTACAGGCTCTTCAGGCCCATCGAAAGCGTTGAGGGTGAGAAGGCAACTGCCATCGAACACCCCAAGGGTTTCAATGATTCTGGCCTCTCGGCGGCCTCACTGGGAGGCCCTGAGGCCACCTTGGACCCATCTTGTGGCATTCGGGGGCCATGCTGGATGCTACCTCGGGCCAGCTCGAGCCATCTTCGATCGTCTTGGAGGCCATCCTGGGATGTCTTGGAGCCATCGAAAGGTTCATATTCGGCACGTCGGAAAGCCCACACATTCACAATCTAGCAACACATCTGACTTCAAAATCGATTCGGGTGAGCGATGGCAGCCCTAATCGTGGGAGGGATGGCAGGAGAGAGCGAAGGGCCTGTGGAAAGGTCTTGGGAAGCCAAGTGCAACTATACTACCAAAATGCCCTGTAACGCCCCTCGCGGGGTAGCAACCAAATGGACGCAAATTACAATCTGGAGCGTCGTGGTGTCCCCTCCTCCTCTCGCGTCTTATCGCCAATGGGTCCGAAAACGACCCCCGGAAGACAAACGTAGGGAAATACGCTGGGGCTGAGGAGCAAGCGATGTGGGAGGTCCAGGGCCCAGAAGTCGATGGAGGTGGACAGAAGCCTCCATAAGGTCAAAGAAGTGCCAAGAACACCCCTCCCTCCCCGCCCGATGAACCATGAAACCTCCTGGGGCCTTTTGGGACTCCCAAGGCCTCTTGGGACTTCCTGGGGCCCGCTGGAACTGGGGCCTCCTTGCTTGGAACTCCTGCGGCCTTCTGGAACCTCCTGGGGCCTCCTGGCCCCTCTTGAGGCCTCCTAGGAACTCCTGGGGCTTTTTGGGTGGTCCTGGACCTCCTGGGATCTGTTGGGGCCTCCTGGGACCTCGCGAGGCCTCTGGATCCCTCCTGGGGACTCCTGGGCTTTCTGGGGCCTCCTGGGGCTTCCATGGGCCTCCCGCGGCTTCCTGAGCTTCGTGGAGCTTCCTTGGACCCCCATGGGGCCTCCTAGGCTGTCGAGTGCTGCCCGAGAGAGTCCGCTCCAGGGAGCGGCCCCCGACGATGCTATGCGATTTGGCTTCCCTGGGCCGTCCTGGCGGGCCCTCTGAGAAACTGCGCGCGGGGCCTCAAAAATGACGACGGTAGGATGGGACCTTTTCCGTTGAGACAGGAAGTGCGGTGAAGAAAGATTTTGTGACCGCAATCTCACACTTGAGGCCCAAAACCGTCCTGAACGCCCCGCGGCGCGAAGCTGGTTCCCCCATGGTGCGGTGCGATTTACCCTCCCCCCGATGTCCCGCCTGGCCCCGGGAGGGTGAGTTTTCCCGTGTTCGCTGGTGAGAAACACTTCCCCCTACCTCTCGGCGGTGACGGAGGGCAGGCGGCGGGTGTGGGCGGGTTGGCGGGTAGGATGGGTAGCAGGGTGGCTGAACGGGCCTGTTGGCTGGCGGGGTGGTTGGGTGGCGGGGAGAGGTGGTTGGGCTGGTTGGGTTGGGTGGGGTTGGCAGGTTGAGCTGGCTAGGGCAGTTGGTCTCTACTTGTCAACGGTCTGGCACGCCAAGCCGCCCTGCGAACCACAAAGAATGGCGGATCGAAGACGCCCTGCGGCGAGGCACTGCCGCCGGCTGCTTTGTGGCAACGCCTGTGTGGCTAAGCTTCAAGCCAACCCTTGCCCTCCTCAACATTCTGAGTCCTTCCAGCTTCAAGCTCAACCCAGCGGTCTGAGTCCTTCCACCTCCCCCCTTCCCCCTCGACGAAAATTCTTTCTCGGCGCTTCGGCGCCACCGCCGGGCTCTCGTAGGGCCGTCCCCGCCGGGACGATTGACCGGCGCCTCGTCTCGCCTCGGACAAGGAGGGAGGGAGGAGGAGGAGGAGGAGGAGGAGGAGGAGGAGGAGGAGGAGGAGGAGGAGGAGGAGGAGGAGGAGGAGGAGGAGGAGGAGGAGGAGGAGGAGGAGGAGAAGGAGGAGGAGGAGGAGGAGGAGGAGGAGGAGGAGGAGGAGGGAGGAGGAGGAGGAGGAGGAGGAGGAGGAGGAGGAGGAGGAGGAGGAGGAGGAGGAGGAGGAGGAGGAGGAGGAGGAGGAGGAGGAGGGAGGAGGGAGAAGGAGGAGGAGCCTTGCCCCCCATCAACATTCTAAGATACTACGGGGGGGAACTGCTGGGAACGATGCTCCGCAGCGTTTTCACACTTCCCGTGGCCGCTCGCGGGTCCCGCCCGAGGCCTCACCTGTCGGGAGTCCCTCGGGCTGCACCGGCCACGTCGGGGACTGTCTCGTGGGCGCCGAGAGGCCTCGTGGGGGCAACCTAGAAGCTGAGATGGGGGTCCTCTTAGGGCTCTCGTGGGGTGCTCCCCGGAGCCACCGGGAGGCTTTTTGTGGGCTATCTTGAAGCCTTTCAGGCCCACCGACAGTGTAGAGGGTGAGAAGGTGAACGTCACCGACAAGGCGAACACAATTCAATGAGGTTGGCCTCTCGGTGGCCTCCTTGGGAGTCTTGAGGTCGCCTTGGAGCCACCTTGCAGCCTTTGGGGGCCATGTAAGGGGGCCATGTTGAGCCAACCCTGATCATCGAGAGCCATCTCGGGCCGTCTCGGAGGCCAGCTCTGGGCCCTGGGGACCTCCAGCGGTCTCTGAAGCCAGCCGGAAGTCCCAAAGGCCAAGAACATCGAAGGACACACGTTTCGAGCGGCGCTGGGGCAGTGGATGATAGAAGGGCCAGCAGTTGCCCCAGGCCAGCGACAGCATGCGAGGGGCCACGCCTGTCAGGACTTCACGGGGAAGCCGAGCGAATCTGCCCATGCTCTCGCGCGCCCGTGCCCACTGTGGTTGGTTCACTGAATTGCACAGGGTGGCGGGTCTGCGTGGGTCTACGTCGCTTATGTGGCTGACTCTGGCGGAGTGCCAAAGAAATCGCTGAGACACAGTCTAGTTAACAATTTCCCCAAACTGGCATTGTGTCATTTCGGGAGCTGTCCGAAGCTTTCTCTGGATTATGTTCGCTGCTGCGAATCAATGCCTCCCCTTGGTGGTCCACGGAGCTTTCCGAAGGCATCTCGGGATTCCATGGGGCTGTCGAGGCGGCCTCGGGTGCCGTTTCGGCCGCGTCGTGGGGCCACTTGCTCTTGGGGGCAACTTTGACCGTCTGAAGGGTTTCTTAGACTCCTCTGGGGAGGGGGTCTTTGGGACCTTCTTGTGCTGCCTTGGGCTCTCCTGACCATTGGAGGCGTGTAGGGGAGGGGAGTAGCAGGAGGCCGTGAGCGAGGGAGGGGGGAGGCATCGAAAACATTGCATGCCCTTGGTTTCAAACAGAACCTGTTCCAAACCATTGGGGCCAAATATTGAGGACCCAACGTCTGCCCATGGCGCATCGAGCATGTTCCGTGCGCTGGGGCGGGGAGGCTGAGGAAACAGAGTGCCCCAAACAGGAAGGCTGCTCTGGGAACGCCGCACCATAGAGTTGAGGAGACATGGGCCGCCTATGATTAAAACAGTGCTTCAGGCCGGGGTCGCGCGTTAAGTGGCAAGTGGCAATTTCAAATCACATACCGATCCCACTCTTCACTTTCTCGAGACCTGGTGAGAGCACGTACGTGCTACTTGATAGGGGAAGTCGCCTCGGTGACCTGGTGGTCATATACGTTTCCTAAGGTCACCTGCTTGGCATTTTGTTTCTTCCTCCTTGCTCTGGCCTTCTTCCTCCTTGCTCTGGCCGCACTGGCGTTGATGATGCAATCAGTGGAGAAAGGGGTAGCAGAGAGGGAGACGAAGGAGAGAGGCACCAGGCAGCCACAGGCCCCTCACGCCGTCCACGAACGTGTGGAAGCGCTCGTATGCCTCTGGCGACAAGAGACACGAGAAAACGCGAAGCAATCTCTTGACGGGCTCGTTGGATAGCGCAGAATTGGTCGACCCTCTGTGACAGCGCGGTGATGAGATGAATCGATGCCGGGTTGCGAAAGGCCACCAGGATGGTGCAACTTGAGGTGAAAACACTTTGCACCCTACGCCCCTTCAACCATTTGAGTTTCCGCCCGAGGCGTGTCCTGTCGAACTCGCTGTCGGGTAATGCTGCGGACAAAGCAGAGCTACCGCTGAGCCCAACATTGACGAGAGGGGACTTGCGATTCCTAAGGCACCGCTGCGACTGAGAGACTGGTGATGCATCCCCCGCCTGCGGCGAAGTGGGACTAAGGACAAGTCATTTTCGCACAGGGTGTGCGTACTTCTCCTATCATGAGGAGGGGCAAAGCGACACACCAAAACAACCATACGGCCAAGGGCGGGAAACCGTCATTCTGCCGTGATCGTCGGCGATCTGGTGTCCATGACACCTCAGCAGGTAGAAGCCCACATAAGACAATAGGCTACACATGGGTGGCTTATTTCTGGCTCTGCCGGATTCTAGGGCCGCTTAGTTGTTTGGGCCAATATTGACTCAATCGGCCCCGAGCAAAGCAATGTGACATGAATGGCCGCCTCGCCTTGCCGCGGGGACCCCACAAATCCAACCTCCCAAGATCTAGGGTAAACCGTCTAAGTCGGCTTCATCGGCTGACTTGAAAACGGCCACACCCCGAAGCTTCCTCAACATGAATTCTACAGGGCCCTTCATCGATGCGTCCTACAAGAAGACGTCCCCCTGGCGTCCTACGCCTGAGTTCTTTCGCCTTGCCCATCCCCTTCCCTCTCCCCCTCCTCCTCCTCCTCCTCCTCCTTCTCCTCCTCCTCCTCCTCCTCCTCCTCCTCCGCCTTTTCAAGCATTTTAGTATGTCGTGGATTCAGCGTCTGACAATGAGGAGACAAGAGCGGAATTACGTACGATTGATCATACATACACGCTGATGTGGACTGTCCGCGACCAAGGGAAAACAATCCCACATCCCAATTTCTCATTTGCCTCCGCGCTCAATCTGCACGTCGGGTTGATAGAAAAACGTGTACGTAACCATGGTGTGTGCGCAAAGCGACCGCAATTGGCTGCGCGATTCGTGTTCTCATCCCAACCGTTGTCTTCGATCTCCGAACGAGGGTCGCTTGGTGGCAGCGAGAAGAGATGGGGTAAACAAGCCGTGAACCGACGGTGATCCGTCTTGCCTGGACAGTCGATGCGAATTAGATCTGGTTCCCAAACAATGGTTGCACTTGAAAATCTCTTTCTTGTGCTCTGGCCGTCGCTGTCGCTGGTCGCGCGGTGGGTTGCGCAGTGGGTGTCCCGTCGCCGTCACCAGTTGCGCTATGAGTTGCGCGTGGGATTAGCTCGATAGATTGCGCCGTGGATTAAGCAGTGGGCTGTACATGGAGTGGACACCGTAGAACGTACCTCGTGAGGATGTCACCCCATACCTTGCAACCTATAGAGAGACCGAGACGAAGCGTGAGGTGCCCCAATTGGGAAATCATTTTGTTTCGTGCGTTACGTGCGAGGCGAAGCAGCGCGATCTCCTGCGTTGGTGGGGACCAATTCATGCCAAAATGAATGGCCCCGTCTCCGGTACGTGGCGCCCGGAATCCCTGGTGGCTCCCGGATGTTGCGCCGGTCGTCCCGATCCTTGCCCCCATGGTTGTCCCGTTGGTTGTCCCGACGGTTCTCCCAATGGAGACGTCCTGAGGTCGACGGGTAGAATCAAAGTGAGATCGTTTGATTAGTAGTGAGGCCGGAAGGTCGGTGAAATCCGCCGATCCGGCGTGTGAGTTTCTGAGAGCGTGGGCTTGAGCTCGCTCAAGCTTCGCTCTGGAGGGGGGTCGGGGGGTGGACGCAAACGACGAAAACCGACGTAAGAATTGACACAGACGGCCTTTGCAGAGCGGACCCCCCCCCCCTGCACTGCGCCCTGGACAGGAAAAGGGGGGGGAGGGGAAGGGAAAGGAGAGAGGGGGAGAGAGGGGGGGAGGACAGGAGAGAGAAGGGGGGGGGGACATGAGAGAGGGGGGGGGGGGAGAGGGGGGGGGTTGGACAGGAGGAGGGGGGAAGGGGGGACAGAAGAGAGGGGGGGGGGGGGAAGGAGAGAGGGGGGGGGGGGACAGGAAGAGAGGGGGAGGGGGGGGAAAGGAGAGAGGGGGGGGGGGACAGGAGAGAGGGGGGGGGGACAGGAGAGAGGGGGGGAGGGGGAAGGAGAGAGGGGGGGAGAAAGGGGGGGGACGGAGAGAGGGTTGGACAGGAGAGAGGGGGAGGGGGGGGACAGGAGAGAGGGGGGACAGGTGGGGAGGGGGGGGAAAGGAGAGAGGGGGGGGGGGAGGGGAACGAGAAAGGGGGGGGGGGACAGGAGAGAGGAGGGGGGTTGGGGGGGGGGCCGGGATCATCACTATCTCCATCACCATCACCATCGTCACATCA